CCTGACAGAACTGGAGAGGATCTGCAAGGAGGAATGGCAGAGGATCCCCAAATGCAGGTGTGAAAAACTTGTTGCATCATTCCCAAAAAGACTCATGGCTGTATTAGCTCAAAAGGGTGCTTCTACTAAATACTGAGCAAAGGGTCTGAATAATTATGACCATGTGATATTTCAGTTTTTCTTTTTTAATAAATCTGCAAAAATGTCAAATTCTGTGTTTTTCTGTCAATATGGGGTGCTGTGTGTACATTGATGAGGAAAAAAATGAACTTAAATGATTTTAGCATATGGCTGCAATATAACAAAGAGTGAAAAATTTAAGGGGGTCTGAATACTTTCCGTACCCACTGTATACTTTGTTGGAAATATGCCTATTTAAAACTGATATTAACAGATATAAGTAACTGTAATGAAAAGCAATGAAAGGTATGTAAGAAAGAGAACTTTTCAGCACATGACTGAAGACACATTCATTTGAAAACGACTAATATGAAAATATCACTGGTATTTCTATAAAAATATTAAACCTTTACCAGAAAGTTTAAAAGCTCTGAGCCTGTGACTAATGTGTCCACACAGCTGCATCTAAAAGTGACTGAAACGCTCTTTTCACTTCCTCCTCTTCATGCATCACTGAACGAGGCTTCTCTCTTTAGGGTCAGGTTCGGGTCTATTATCATTTCCGCACATATGCATGATAAACATACACAGAAATGAAATGTTACTCCTCATAGACCTCAGTGCAACATAAGCATAACCTAACCTAACCTAACCTAAGCATAAGTGCAAAACACTAAGTAGGTGCAAAAAATACTTGTAGGCTGAAATTTAAAAATGTTGACTAAAAATGAACACAGTGTTGAGGATAACTTCAGACCATACATGGTTCAAGTTGATGTAATATAATGGAAATGCATTTAGTTTGCATATATTTCAGCTCAAAGTTTTTTTTAAGCACTGCATTTATGTTTAGATTAAATGATTAAATGAAGCTACAAATCTCTATAAATAGCTGTGGCTTACAGTCTGACCACTTCTTTTTGACCCCAGCAAGGGTTCTCTGCTCTGGACTGACAGCACTGATAGTCTCAGTATTTTTTTTTCCATTCAGCAACTTTTCTTCTGTCCATGATCCCTGAATAGAGACCAACAAGCAAGTCTTCTTTTATTTTCTCCACATCTCCAGTGATATTCTTTAGCATTGCTTTCATTTCCATGTCTAATAATGTGTGGTTCAAACATAGTTTTTCTACTGTATGTCTGTTTATGACTAAATGTGTAAGTGGAAAAGAAGCTCATGCGTTCAGTTCCACGAGGATTGAAAAATATAAATCAGAACCAGTCAAAGATGTTGCTTTATAAATCTGACAAAAACGATCCGTACTCTCAGCATATTTCCAACAAAGTATACAGTGGGTATGGAAAGTATTCAGACCCCCTTAGTGCGTGCAGTTTTAGTTGTGAATCTACACAGAGTTTTATGCAGCTGGCCTCACTTTATTCAATTCTTCCTTGCAGATTCTTACAAAGTCAAGCAGATTAGATGGAAAGTGTTTGCCATCTTCAGGTTGTGTGAGGTAAAAGCCTGGACTTTGGCTGGGCCGCTCAACGACAATCAGAAGCCATTGCAGCGCTCTCTTGGCTGTATGCCTCAGGTCAGTCCGGCTGAAAGGTGAACATGGCTTCAGTCTCAGGTCACCACTGCATTCATCCTCTCTTACTTATGGTTTCACCAATCTCCCTGTCCCTGCTGCTGAGAGAGCCCTTGTGGGCCTTCATATACAGAGGTGTTTGGTCATTTCAGCTGCAGGTGGGCTCCAGTCAAGTTCTGCACATCTCAGAAATCATTTATGCAACAACAGGATGCACCTGACCACAGTTTGGAGTCCACAGCAAAGGGACTTGGAACATTTGTAAATGGGATTTCAGGTTTTGATTTTTAATAAATGTGCAATAATTTCTAAAAAACAGCCGTCATTGTTTTGTTAAATGAAACCTATCTATTTAAACTTAGTATGCAAAAAGCGAAGGGCTATGAATGTTTTTTTAAAGCGACTGTGCGCTCTGGGAGTTGTTTCACTTCCCATTGCCATCCTACACGATTTCTAAGACACCTTTTTATTCGCGTTAGAATCGGAAAGGTTTTGTTAAAACTACTTTAGGATAGTAAAGACGGAGTCTTGCTTGAATAAAGTTTGTCCCATGTCATGCTCCGTACATAAGTGCTGAATTTGGCTGGTGATTTGGCTTCGTTCGGTTTTCAAACCTCGCTCTGTTCTTTCTCAAAAATGCCCAGGTTTCTTCTGTTCTTCTCGGCGATACTTGTTGTGTGCGGGACTAACCCGTGTCCGTGTGAGAGGCCGGAGCTCTGTCTACCGATCCGTGCACAGAGAGACTTTGAGGTAGTTCTCATCTTGTTCATCTGACACGACTTGATCTAACCTGCGGAACCTGCTGCCTTAGCACAGAAAATCTTAAATATTTTACCGTTCAGTTCATTTCCTCTGATCAAACTCATTTTAACAGGTGTGTTTTGACATCGTGATGGTTCTCAGAGTTTTTAACAGGCATTAGTGAAATCTCAGCTCCTCTGAACCCATAGCTTTAATGTGTTGCGCATTTTTATCATAAGGCATATTAGAAAAATTGTTTGGATACAAGCCAGGCAAAGTTAATGTATATTTATCAACAGAAGTATCTTTTCCTCTCTCTTATAATTAAGTTTTATACTATATTGAACGTCCATTCTTGATGTACAAACAATAGCTGACAAAATAAACTCATCATAAATGTTAGAGCAGGAAACAAACAAACTAACAAACGAACAAAAACCTCACTCTGAACACGGAGCCATAAATAGCTCCAGAACTGCTACTAAATAGACCTTGTGATGTCAAGAAGTAAAACCTTTGTGCTGCTTAGATCAATAAAAGGGAAGATGGTTTCTACTGAGTTCTGGCACTACAGTTCTCTTACATAATGTCCATGGCTGTCACAAAGCTGAATCTCATGATGGAGGTCTGTAAAATGTTGCACTTTGTATAATGATCCTTAAACTGGAATTTTCACCAATAAAACCTTGAATGTATTATAGTTTACACACTGATTGATCGAGAAAACTGATCAGTCAAAAAGTAATCTCTAGTTTTTAACATTAATTCCCATTGCCTGACTTTATAAGATATGGGGAAATGGAGGTGGAGTGGCACTATAAACCCTGTTGGCTGCATGGCGATAAGCAGTCATACCAGCCTAAAGTGGTTCGTTTGAAATGTTTCAGCTGCTGTTCCTCTTTATTCTCATGGTGTGTCTGTTTTAATAGTGGTGTGATATTTGTGAAGGTTCCCTTTTTTGGGCACATGTGACCTCTTGGACTTCTGTTAGGTGTCTCGTGTTACTTAGAAACTCACATATCGACCCCTTTTGTAGCTCATCAGTGTTAAATATGGCACAGCTGACGGGTACTTCTAAATGATCTTCGGGTGCTACTAGTGTCATGTCAGCCTAGATTTTGTACACTCTCAGCCAGCAGTATTGCTTATGAGAGTGCCAACATAATTGGAATGAGGCACTATGTCAGGTCCGCTCGGCGCGACCTGCCTCTCTTTCTTTCTTTGTTTTTCCTCTCCTGCTCCTTTTTTGCGGGATCAACGCCTCAGCTGTGTCGCATCGGGTAATTAGTGACTCGTGGGTCGGTGCACACACCTGAGGCGTATTCCGGTGATTTGTTGGCTTCCTTGTTTATACCTCTGGCAGACGCCCCGTCGTCGCCGGAGCATTGCGACATGTAATGGACAATACTTACCTTATGTAAGTTACAAATGGTGTGTTTGACCCGCATATTTTTAGACGTGTGTAAGATGCTATGCTGACAGTCTCTGTGCGTTTTGGCTTGACCTTATCACGCTATTATGTGGTTAGCAATACTTAAATACGTGCTTTGTCTTCCATGCTGACAGTCTCTGTGCTGTGGATTGCATTGTTTACATTGGTTCCTCTTGTTTACCTGTTCGTTCTCATCCTCCTGCTATTCTAGTTCCTGTCGTTAGTTTGTGTGTTTACCATCCTGGTCTCCTTAGTCATCACTGCCCTTCCCTTGTTGTATGTATTATGGACCCTGTTATGTTGTCATGTGGTTTTTATTCCATTAAACCACCTTTTTTGTACTAGCACCTGGGTCAGCCATCTTGAGTCCAACCCCAGTTCTCCCTCACCCTCCAGGTGAGGGGGACTAAACCTTAACACACTAACAGGAACACATCTCTATGGAATCTAGAAAGAAGTAGGCACCAAGCAGAAGAAGCACTAAGGAAGAAAGTACTGAGACTGGAACACATAGGGTTAAACAAAACATTACATTTAGTAGGAAAACATCCCTCTGGCCAGGTCGAGGAATCTGTGGATCATGTGTCAATGTCAAAAGTATAATACAGCAAGACAAAGTGAGGAACTCAGGAAAAAAAGGAATGGTTGAATTTAGTATAAAGAATTTACTCAGTAGTAAAACAGCAGTTTATTAGGTTACTTAAAAGAAACCAGATTAATTCATAGTATTTAGGTCCCTTTTATCATCTGTCTCCCAGGGGTACTGTAAGTAACACAGGCCCACACTCCAGCATAGTAGGTGGTGCTAATGCACTTGGAATGTTGGATGCCACCTGCCAAATAAACGGAGAAGAAGTATTAGCGCTGTGCTTGTACTGCAAGTCAGAATGTTTGCTGTGAGTAATGTTCATGGTTATTCAGCCTAATTTGACTATGCTGAAGCAATGAAACCCCCTTATCAATTATTTTTAACTCTTAAATTGATATCAAACCTTGTTAGCACAAATGCAAATCGATACATCAGTCACAAATGACTTCACTGGCTACGACATCTACACGTTCCCAGACTCCAAGTTTACCAAAAGTTAAACTGTATTTTTAGCATGGATTTTCTTCGGCCCAGGGGAACCATGTTTCCAAATGCTTGTTCAGCCTAATGTGTGTTTGTCACCAGACAATAATGAACTGATTCAACAAGACACTATTGGAGTAGTTAAAAAAAGCATCTATGTGGCCTCATTTTTCAGGTGTTTGTGTTTGATGTGGGTGGAAAGACGTGGAAGTCCTACAACTGGACTATAGTGACAACAGTGGCAACATTTGGAAAATACGATGCAGATCTCATGTGTTTCGCTCACTTCCATGGAGCACGAGTCGTCCTCAAAGGTAGATCTGGCTCTTCTCATGCCAGTATGAAGGGGTTTGTCTATGTGGAGTCTGGTTTGACAAATGTCCAGGCCTTAACCTTTACAACAGTGTAACATCTGACTCTTTTAAAAACTATTTACTGGTGAAAATCCACCAGCCTTTCACTGTTTAAATGAGTGTTAATGGGTCAGTGCTTCTCAGTACTGTTTTCATCTCTCTTTCTTTGTTGGTGGGAAAAGGTGACGTTCCCCTCTCCTACATTGTGGACCGAGATAATAGGACAGCGTGGATAGCAGAGAAAGTCCAGTTGGCCAAGAGTCAGTTTATGGATGGGATCAACATTGACATTGAACAAGCAGTGGACAAGGGATCACCTGAGTACTATGCTTTGACAGACCTGGTCAAAGAGACCACTGAGGCCTTCCACAGAGAGATCCCAGGTTCTCAGGTGAAGGCAATGTTTCAGTGCTGTCGCTATGAACATAAATATGCTGTAAGCCTTTCATAGCCTGCCTGGACTGATTGGTACATTTTAAAGATCCGCTCCATTTACATTATCCTGATCTTTAGGTCTCATTTGATGTTGCCTGGTCACCAAAATGCATTGATAAGCGCTGTTATGATTATGTCACCATCGCTGAATCCTGCGACCTGCTGTTTGTCATGTCCTACGATGAGCAGAGCCAGATCACAGGGGACTGTATTGCAATGGCAAATGCCCCGCTCCCTCAAACACTGAATGGTTTGTTGCCCAGTTATGTAATAATAAATGACAAGTCACCTTGTTAATGCAAAACTACACATCAACATTTCAAATGCCTGTTATTTTTCTTTCAAGGTTATGATGAGTACTTGAATTTGAAGATTGATTCGAAGAAGCTGGTGATGGGAGTGCCATGGTATGGCTATGACTACCCATGCCTCAGTCTTTCCCAGGTACAGTTTTGCTCATTTAAATTCTGAAAGGTGGTGGCTGAATTTCTTTAAAGAACAAGTTTCTATATTTCTAGTCACCCTAGAAATCGTAATATTAGTTTGGTTTGCATTTGTGGTTTTAAGTGAAGTGAAGTGTCTCAGCAACTAACAGATATGTCGCCCTTACATCTAAGTCTCCTCTGCATATACTTAGTGCTAATAACCAAGATACTGAACTAAAATCACAGAGAAGCTTACACCTGCTTAGCATCAGTATGTTTTTATTGTCATTGTGAGCATGTTCTTGTCAACAAATCCCATGAAAAGACCAAAGCCAACAATACATTCATATAATAAAACTACTTCCTGTGCTGTCAAGACCCGATATATTTTTTTTTCTCTGTACCATAGATCTCCACTGTTGTCCAGAAACTGTTAAAACCAAATGCTCAATGCCTAGTTAGTTCCTTCACGGGGACAGACTAATGCATTGTGGTGGTATCTTTACACCAAAAAAAAACCCTCAAAAACATCACCCATATGGTTTAAAGCACTTTAAAATACCCCTTTCTATTAAATAGAGTTTGATATATACTTGCCTTAACAGATTTATATATAATTATAATAAACTGGAAAGCAAAAAGTCTGGAAACACTTGCAGTGTTCTGAGCAACTGTAGATCAAACATAAAAGGCTAACACGTTTTGGCACAAAGTCTTCATCAGGGTCTATTGAAAATACACAACAAGACTCTCCATAAGAAGGAGTGGGTGAAGTTGCACCAGTAACTTCTGCTGATATAATTACAATGCTCACAATGAAAATATAAAGCTATACACAGTTTGAAACTCTTAGCAGTTTCTTTTTCCTGAAATTCATGATTTTTCTTAACATTTTTTCCCTATCTCAGAACACATTGTTGAAGGCAGTGTATGATTGTGCTGTTATTTATTTACACTTCTTTTATTGCCGCAATAAATGTGACAATATATCTTTTCCCACAACAGAAGGGGATTTGTTCTATACCCAAAGTTCCTTTCCGTGGAGTCAATTGCAGCGATGCAGCTGGAACACAGAAACCGTACAAATGGATCATGAAGCAGGTCAACAGCTCGCTGTCTGGCAGGCTGTGGGACAGCGAGCAGCAGGCGCCCTACTTCAATTACAAGGTGCTTAATCTTTGGTTTATATTTCAAGTATTAATTCTGTTATTTTACATGCCACTCATTGCAAGAACTTCCTTGAGTCCATCAGTCTGCAAATGGGTGACAAATTTAGTGACATTTTTACAGAAAACCATTGTTTCATACTGGGACTGTAGAATTTGCAAGACAGAATGGGATTTAGTAGATAGAAAATACAGCATTAGTACTGAATTATAAGAATGGTAGGATGCAGGGTTATTTTACTGTACAATAGGGTCTCAAAGTCATTGCCTGTTGATCTCTCTGCTGCATCATTTATGACCATTACTTTTTAAAATCTGCCCCAACTTTACAGCAGCGCAAAAAGAATTTGCTAGAGCACTTTAAACGTACATCTCTGTTGGGGTTAGATGTTTCATTGTTAGCAAAGGGGGTACCCATTTCATTTATCTTTCTACCAAGTTTGAGCTTCACCATCTCCGCCTCTCCTTAGTCCTAATAAAATATGACTCAACAAATCAATTAAGGTGAGGACAGTGCCGACGGTCATCCCAGCTACCACACTGTCAGTTTCTGAACAACTGAGAACAATTGCCCCTTTGAAACAGCAATAAAACATTACTGATGGATGCCTTCTTGTGGGGTCCAAAAGTGTTTGCATACCCATGATGACCTCATCAGATCTTTTCTTTTTTTGGTGTCAGGACCAGGAAGGCCAGATTCATCAGGTTTGGTATGATGACCCACAAAGTATTTGTTCCAAGGCAAACTCTGTGACGTCTAAAGGTTTAAGGGGCATCGGCATGTGGAATGGCAACATCTTGGACTACAGCGATGAACCAGTTGCCCGGCAGCAGACCGCAATGATGTGGAATGCCCTGCTAGGATGCTAGCCGGGATACACTTAACACCGCTGCAGGCATTTACACTACCCCTGAGCCCACCCCTGTTTGTTGCTATGTCAATATATCCCTTTGTAGCAGTGACAGGGTGTGACTTCCCTCGGAGTTCAGGGATGCATATTTACACTTTTATTGCTGTTGTCTATGAATGTCTAAGAGATTTGTCTGTGCTAACTGAAATCACTGCGATTCCCTGAAAAGGACAATCGAGCTTAATGCAATGTACACGCAGAGTATTTTTGATTAACCTATGTTAAGCTTGTTGAGATCTGTACTCGCATACAGCGATTTCTTTGCTAAACCTGCTAACTGTTGAAGTTAAACCTCTTAGTTTTAGCATTCTTCCTGTGACAACGATATTAGCCAGGGGCTGGCCAGAGGTGGTACAGACCAGGCCAAATGTGATTGGCCACCCCTGGTGGCAGCCATGTCAGAATCAAAATGTGATGCTTGTCAGTATTATAATGACAAACTGATGTCTTCAACACAACTAATGTTTTTCTGGTACTTGTGGTATTGGTTGATTTACTTTCATTTTATATCACGTATGCAGCATGATATTTGCATTCATTCCTCCAATTCAGTTGTTTGTGCAGCAGCGAAGTCTCTGGCCACGCTCCTTTTTTACTCCCAGGCAAAGTTAGCTAAAGAAAGCACTGTATGTGTCTTATTTTTACACAGACTAAACAGCTTGATTCTTAATAATGTATGGTTTATTATTTCATAGAACAAGGGGTTTAATTTACTTTTACTTTTAATTTTATTTCAAATGGGCCACCCTGTCCAAAACTTTCTAAATCCACCCCTGCTTAAAGAACCTGAATAAATGAGAAGTCAACAATATCAACACTACAACTCAGACCACATCAAATGACAATTGGTGTAATAAGAAAATGTAAAAAAAACCAAAAGTAAACAAAAATACAAAACAGTAAGCAGGGTATGCAGCTGTGTAAATTCCCTGCAGAGTTAAGACCAGACAATGGTGTTTGTGCACAGTTTTGCACATAACCTCCATATAAAAAAATTATATGGAGGTGCTTTGAACTTGCAATCTGTCTCATGTGCTATTTCCAAAGCATAGAGAGGATGTGGGCCCAGGATGAGATGACTGGTTCTTCTTCTGGGCCAACTCAGCCTTCAGGGCCGTCAGCTCTGTGGCAGCCTGTTTCCTCAACTACACAGCCACACATGACAAAAGAACAAAGTTTGTGAATGTAGAAACAAGCTGAGGTGCATGGTAAGTGCTAACTACTGCCCTGAAACGCTGTAGTTTTGTGCTGATGCACAGAAATTTAGTACCTTTATTTCTGTTAGCAGCTTCATCCTGGCGTCCTCTACCTTCCTCCTTAGGTTGTCAATCTCATGGCTCTCTGTCATAATCTGAATGATGAGCTCATTCTGAAATACAATAAGCTCATTATTTGCATACAATAAATTCTATTTGGTGATATTCTAAGCCAGCAAGGTCTTTATTAGACTGGTCCAAACATGCCACATCTTTTGGAGCTATACAGTAATTCAACTCCCTTTTAGACACAAAAAACAAAACAGTACATTAAATCAATATTACGTAGCCTGTACCTTGATGGAAGGTTTCCCCTGCCGCCTTGGCTTCCCTCTGTTATCTCTGGCCTGGAGCTGGTGCAAGAGCTTGTTGTAAAATGTTTCCAACTCTTGTCGTAAGTTTCTCAGGTTCTCCTCCAAAAGTGCAGTGACCTTCTTGGTTTCAAAATATTTCTTTTTCCAACTGTCACGTGCTTTTACAAGCACAGCAGCAGAAGTGAGTTATTTTTGACAGATTTAACAGATTCTGTTTTGTCCCTTATAAAACACCTCATTTTCAGGATTAGAAAACTTGTTTTTCCCATCAGCATGACTAATTTTGAGAACTTTCAAATGCAGCTAAACTATGAAAACAAGCTAAATTTGAGCTAAGTGTTCATGACAAAACAGTTTATATAGAGGTTCTTGAAGGGATTGTTCTCTGATTCACAGACTTCTGGCAAGAAGCTCTAATGATTCCTTAGCTATCTACAGAACAATATTTTGTTCCCACCTTGGTTCCTTCGGTGTCTGTTTTGGGCCAGTAAATCTTTCCCTTTTCTTAACAGCTCCTGTCTTGTCCACTCCAGCTGCTTTCTCTCCTCCCTCACCAGCCTGATTTCTTCAATAAGTTCCTCTCCTAACAGAAACACACCACATCAGTTGTCTGAAAAGAAGAATAATCATTCATTCTTGCTAATTTGGCTGAAGTAACGGCTTACTGTTTATCTGGGTGACCAAGGCCAAGTCTGTACCTGGAGGTGGAGATGTGCAGCGAACAGGCCGGGACAACGCAGCTGGACTTTCTGTCACCTTAACACAGGCAGTAAATACAGTGAACAAATTTACATGGCTATGTGTGGATTCAGGTCATTTGCTCACTTCATAGGCCTCACACACTCCACTAAACCCACCTGCTGCAAGTGGAATTTGGACTAATCACTGCACCAGATAACTTACAAGAGACTGTCTGTGTCCAGTAAATTTATCTCCAGGACAACCTTTTGCACAGATTTATGCTCAAGAGGAAAGGCTGAAGAAAACATGCTGACATATGCTTGAGTAGGTTTCAGACACATAGGCTACCAGGTAAAAGGTTTGGACACACTTTCCCATAGAATTGAATGGGAAACCTTTGACAGGTAGTGTATATTATACCATACATTACCCCACATGTTGGTTTACTCCTGATGGACTTCAGTGTTTGTGCAACTTTGGATTTCCCAAGCCTGCAAATAGACACACTATTAGAGCAGCCAGCAGCAGTAGTACTAGTACTGACTGCAGAAAACAGGAATGGTTTAGCTCAGCTGGCTACACGGTACCTGTCTGTGAGGGAGAAACCTAACTCTTTGTCCTCCAGGGACTCTGCCACTCCTGAATCTCTAGCCGCTCTGTTTCCTCTGCGGTATTGTTTCTTTCTTCTGCAGATGTCCTCCTTCTCTGGCAGTTCCTTCACCTGAGCTGAATGAGCTTCACATTGTTGTAAAGCTGTAGACATAGACCAAATAAGGAACTCAGTCCTATAGTAAAAAATATTAAAGATTTGTTTTTAAAAGGGCTGAAAATTACACTGCTTGGATGCTCCCACCAATGTATTTAGTGGGTTTCCCATTTGCTCCTTTGGCTCAATTGTTCAGCTAAACTGAGTAACACATTCCTTGTCTCAGGGGTCAGGTGTGGTGCTTTTAAATTCTACCTTTATTCAGCTGTGGTGCCCCTTGATTTTCCTGCTTAGCCCACTCAGGCTTGTTGGGGGAAAGACCCCCCTCTTCGTTTTCTCCTTCTCCCTCTGAACAGCTGCAGCTCTGCCCCTCCTCTTCACCCTCCTCTTCATCCCCCTCCTCCAGGGTCGGGGTGGGAGGTGGCTGATGGGAACACCGGGGAATTAGGGGGAATTTAACAGGCTCTTTTGTTCCTGTTGGCAGGCTGCATGTCTTGGGATGGTGGTAATATGTGTGGTGGTCTGGGGAGGTGCTGCTGGTGTCGGGGGTGAGAGACTGGGAGCAAACACTCCTGTCGTTCTCCATGTTGGGCAGCAGGTAAAGCTCTGGCTGTGGCGCCTGCCGACAGGTGGCAGCAAAACATTAGCAGTAACATCAAAGTGCACATCCAGGGAAACACTAAAACTTATGAAAATCAAAGTAATGGTGAAAATCGCTTAACAGAGTTTAAACCAATAGTAATGTTGAACATAACAACATTATACATTTGTAATCCACCTATTGTGACTGGCAACATGAGTGTGTGTTAGAGTTTCTAGTCATTTTGTTTATTTTGAAAAGCTAAAACTTTTCATGATACTAAAAGATGTAAGAATATATCACATTAGTTTCTGATAGTAATGTATAGAACTATGCCAAAGAGAAAGGCAACACTTCTGGTTAGATGCAAAAATGGAACAGGAATACTACATACATATGGTGGAGCGAACGTTTTCACTTTGAGATCCCTCTCCTGTTTGCTTTTAACCTGTTAATAGAAAAGAATGTGGATGGTGAAAGGGTCATGGCAGTAAAAACTGTGTGCTCACTCTCCCTCTCACACACACATGATTTACACCCTTTAGGGCTGAAGAGTGAACTTGTTAATCACACTGTCGGCATTGGGTTTTTTTCCTGCACCATCTGCCTGATGAAACACAAGTGCACTAAACAGCCAGCTGCACTCACCAGTGCCAGACTGCGCCCCACACACTTCAGGAAAGAAAATTTGTCGACGTTCCTCTCTGCGCCAAGAAGGGCGCTCAGCTCGCGCCTCAGAGTTTTAAGGGTGATATCTGGATAAACCCTAACGACACAGTGACAGAGAGATATCAGATAACTGTTACACATCCCAAAAAGAAGAAACCTACATATGAAAGTTTCATGAGGTAGTTTTTTAGTGGCATCAGTGGAAATACTGTAAATAAGAATGTGACAAAAGGTTTAATGCTATTAATCAGCACCACCAGTTGCATTATCACCATCGGTGTGCTCCTATCAGATGTATCATGTACTGTAATGTGCTTTAAAAGGCTGAAGGTACTGACACTGGATAATTGAATTTTCAGTATTTCTTAATATTGTCTGACTGTTGCGTGCTGTGATTAGTTGTTTTGCAGACAAATTTTCATAATGTGCATATCTAGTTTTAACAGTATATCACAGTGGACTCTTGGCCTACTGTACTGTATGTGCTGCAAAAATATGTTAACTCAAACCTTTAATGCAATAATGTCTTCACTTTTATTTAAAATTGATTTGAATACACAAAATATTTACTTTACTAAGGTAAAGGAATCTGAGTACTTTACACCAAATACATGGCAACTAAAACTTTTTTTGATACAGATCTGAGACCTACACCATATGTGTAAAATGTTTTTTGAATCTCTTTTTGAGTGCAGTCATAGTCTTTCTGTGTGTGCAGCTACATTCATCCATATTTTTAAACGTTCTTGTCTTCCTATAAATTTGATGCCTTAAATAGGATCAAACATCTGTTTCACCTGATGAAGCCTGCAGATATGAAGCATTCTATGGCTTCAGCAGGGACTTTTCTGAGCTTCACGTTCCACTGGTCATCTGGCACATACAGCACATGGAGGTCCAGAAACTAAACACACAAAACCTCTGGCATTAAGCGTGTGTTCATATAATTTTTCAAATTCAATAAATTTTATTTTATTTATTTTTTTGTTGTTGTTGTTACATGAATTCCCTCATCTTACCTTGCAACTGGTCGGTCTCCTGTCCTCTGGATACCTCAGGGACTCACAACAGGGCTCCATTCTCAGTGCGGTTTGGCAAAAGGAACCTGAGAGACGCTGGTTATCGTGCGGGTTATTCGGAGCAAGCCTTGTTTTGGGGCTGTACTGCTGTAACCGTGTGGTGTAATCGGGTCAGTCGTCCACTGGTGGTTCTTTTATGAGAATGCCAGCGGTTGCTCTGGTGCTGATAAAGACAACTGCAGCTTACGCCATGTGAGAGCAGACACTGTCCTACAGGTTGTATTCGTTTTTGATGAGTTATACAGATATGCTCAGTTCTTTATTCTCGGGCGTGTTCTTATGACGTTCTCGAGTCTTAACTGTGAATATTAATGCGAATATTGGCAGGCGTTTAAAACACCATTTTTTAATTGTAAATTAAAAATTTTAGTCATTACATTGAATTGATATACATTTGACAAGTCATTTCATTGGCGAGTACAAAGTAGGCCTAGAGTGATAACTAAGTGTTAAATAGATTGTTTTATGAACGTATTAAGGAAAATCCGTGATCTATTGGAACAGTGTGTTGGTGCATTTGGCCACTAGAGGGCAGCTGTTTAAATAGCACTGACATCGCTTTCACGTAACGTGGGAGTTGTCGAAATTATGTTAAATTAGACATTGTTTTTATCTCCCAGAAGCACAGCTTGTGTTTTAATGTGAAGCTTATAGTGACAGAGTCCCCAAACTACTACAATCCACGAGAAAGTCGAAGTGTGACAGGTTTTTCAGATTAAAATGATGCTACATTCATTAATGTGTGCGTACTATCATCTGGAAGCATTTCCACACAAGCGAAAGAAAAACAGTTGAGAAGAAAAGTTTGAGTTTACGAACAACCTTTGAAGGCATCAAAGGCGGACACTTCTTAAGAAAAACCGGAAACTGGGTGTGGAGGAAAGAGTAATTAGCAAGTTAGCTACTAAGAACGAAGTTTTTGAAGAACTTTTAGTCGTTATTAATACTAAAGCCCGTCTAACTCTCAACAATGTCGGGGTCATCCAACATCGCAGCGATGAAAAAAATTGTCCAACAATTACGCCTGGAAGCAGGCATAAACAGAGTTAAGGTAACGAACGTTTGAGATTGTGTGTCAGCTAACGCTACTATTTCTGGGCGTGTGTTGGTTCTCAGTCATTTTGTTGCAGGTTTCTGTTGTTGTTTAAATACCAGTAATATCACTCAACGGATCCGCTATTTATTTAAGTTACAGAATGTATAACGTTGGGCTAACTAATCGGGGTTTCCCTTGTTTGCCACAGGTGTCCCAGGCCGCAGCAGAGCTGCAGCAGTTCTGCCTCCAAAACGCCCAGCAGGACCCTCTGCTCACCGGCATGTCGTCCAGCAACAACCCGTTCAGACCACAGAAAGTCTGCTCGTTCCTATAGCACCAACTGCCTATGTGAGTAACTTTAGCACAGTAACGTTACATGTTTTGCCCAACAACAACCTTGTTGTCAGTGGAGGAAGAATATAGAGTAGGGCTGCAACCAGCGATTATCTTCATTATCGCTGAATCTGCATCTTTTTCTCAAATAATAATTTGGTCTATGAAACATTTTTTAAAACCTTAGAGGTTTTGTTTTATTCGACCAGTGTTTTGGGAAGATATCTAGTCCGTCAAATATTGTTTATACTGCTCTGTGACAAAGAAAAGCAACGTATTTAATCGTTTTGAGAGTTTTAAATCTACTAGTATTTGTCTTTTTCCCCCGAAGTTTTGGTTGAAAAATGTCTGAAACGATTGTTGGATTATGAAAATAGTTGGTGATAATTTTTCCTGTTGATTAAATAGTCAGTGTGAGTGTACAGTTGGTTGAGGTACGGGACAGGATATAATAATGGTTTTAATTTTGAATTAATTTGGTAATTATTTTCTTGATTCATTTGTTGATTAGTCATGAATTAAAGTTCAGAAAATAATGAATGTCCATTACAATTACAAAGTGCCTAAGGGACACCATTCACACTGCTCATTTAGTCCAAACCTCTGAGTTATTAAAAATAAATTACTTAAATAATTAAAAGTACAGTGTTCAGACCCCTTTTTGCACATTATATTGTGTTGTGGATTCAATTTCGAATGGTTATAATTGCTATTTCTACCCATCATTATATACTGAATCACCCATGATGACAAAGTGAAACCATGGTCATGTTGAGGGGTGGGAATCTCATGACTGGATTCCAGTTCTTGATGCTCCGATTCAGTTCACAATGATTTTAGATTCGATAATCATTCGATTTAATTGAGGAAAAAAACTGAAAAGAACGGCACTATATTTTGGCTCTTACTCTAGTTTATCATGTATCAGCTGATCTTTGTCTTGTGCCCACTGAGCTGCTACTTTTACTTCAGTAAACAATCTGACCAGCCTAGTTCTTCCACTGCTGGTTTGTTAAAACATTTGATGCTCCGATACACTAAGGCCAGTCTGTTGGTGATGGGCTAAGGAGTATTTACACAGTCCTCCATACTTGTCTTTCAAAGCCATTATCAAGTCATTCACACGCATGCAAATGATTTCCTTTTCTGAAAATTAACTAACGTTACAGCCATAAATGTACAACACAACTCTTGTAAGTCTGTGCTGTATTGTGTGTTGTACACTGGCTTTGCGGTTGATTTACACCTGGGTCATTCCATCAACGTTATTCCAAAAATTGATTTTTAGCATTTGTGAATGGATTTAGAATTGTAGAAGATATGAATCATGATTGTATTGTGAAAAGATTTTTCTCCCAGCCCTAGTCATAGAGTTGTCTGTAAATTAATCAAGAATCAAACACTGAAGTCAGTACTTTGTATCAGCCCCTTTGGCAGCAATTGTAGTGCACCAAGTCTTCTTGAGTACATGTGTACGGACTTTGCACACCTCGATTTGGGCATTGAATCCCATTCTTTGTGGGAGTGTCTGAACTGCTATCTTGAGATTCTCTGCAGCTTAAGTCTGGGCCACTTGAGGACAGAGACTTGCCCCAGTGTTTTTTGGGCTGTAACATTTGGACCATTGTCGTGTTGAAAGGTGAACTGCCCCCCATTTTATATCTTTGTCCTGATCTATGCCTTGCCACAGTTTAAATGCAGATAGTTCTTTGGACTTAATGGCTGTATCCTGACATTGTAGGCCCAGCTTCACTTTGTCATCATGAGTGATTAGGTGCATAATAGGTAAAAATAGCAAATGTATCATTTCAAAATTGAATCCACAAAATGTGCAAACAGTAAAGGAGTCTAAATACAGTTTATGTACTGTTGGGTACTTTATAACAAAGTATTGTTTCTAAACTGTTTGTAAAAATAATATATAAACTAAAACTATTAAATGTAACCGAGTAAAAACTACAACAGTTTCCTTTGAACTGTAGTAAAGTATAAAGTGGTACGAGTAGAAAATAGTCTAAATACCTCAAATTATACTTAAGTACAGCCTTGAGCTAATGCACTTAGTTTCATTCCACCACTGCACATTGTCTGCGTTTTTCCAGTAAATCACTACTTAGTCATTTCAACTTGGACACAGTTTTCACACCTTTAATCAGTCACATTGATCAAATAAGACAACATCATGTTCTGCTTCACTGTAGCTTACAGGGTCACCACAGTAGAGATAACCTTAATCAACCAAATGTCTCATTAATGGAATGGTCTATAAAATGTAATTGTGCTAAAGTGAAAAATGCCCAAAACAACTTCCCAAGTCCATGGTGATTTTTTTTTTTGTTTAACAATTATTTGATAATTGTTGCCAAATGTCAATGATCAAATGTTGCAGCTCTAACCTTTATTATAAAATGCCCAAGATGCACTTTACAACTCTTATTTACAAGAACCCTTTTCACAGGGCACAATGGTATTGCCCCATATTTGACAGATTGTTCCAACATTTGCTGATGTTGTTGTGTATAATACTTAGAGAAATAAACACAGGCGTATGATAAGCAGAGATGTCTGAAAACTGCTTTAATACTATCTGAAGTAAAAGCCTGTTCACAGTATTTTTGCTGAATTTACAGCCATGTTGTCTGAACCTGCTACTGTAAGAGCAAAGCTACAGAAGTGCATTGCATTCACCAAATTTTGAGACCAGAATTGAGATTTTTTTTTTTTCCTCTCATAATTACAAGATCTTCTATGAGATACTGTAGGGGTTGAAATGCTGCAGAACTTGCTTCAAAATTATCAGGTTTTATTGAATTCAGGAGTTGGAAAGCTTCAGAAAACTGCATTAAACATGGTCAAAGTTTGTGTCTTTTTGCAGGAGTGATGACTTATCAGTATCTTGTAATAGGCTAGGTTATGGTTGCTAGGCAGAGGCATTACAGGTACCTCATTTTAATTGTCTTGATCCTAGATCTTATAGGCTATTAAGTTGTAGCTTAATGAATATGAGCTTAAATATCAAGTTTGCACAGTATTTTGGGAAATGTCACATTAAAGTAAAATCACGTCAACAGCTCATACCTTTATAAGAAACAGCAAGTATAGCCTAGATACAATGACTTTTGGTGTGCTGCATCTCTTGGGCACTGTCTTGAGCCTGTATTTAGGTTTTGGAATCCTAGGTACGCTGAATTAAGTATTACCACTTCATTTTGCTAAATACTGAAGAAATCTCAAAAAGCTTTCCAACTCCTGCTCTGTACATGTATACAGTGACTTGCACTGTGGGCAGCAACTTTGAGGCCCATTTGTGGCCTATATTTGTTTACATTTTGGAACACAGTTTTTCCATTATAGGAACCTACCAAAATGTGTCACGTCGAGTAATGCTTGTCACGTGTTCTGTTTGTTTCTGCTACACTCGGCCTGCTTTGGAGGTGCATTCTCGGAGCTATATTTCAGCACCCCTCAGGGGGTAGTACCAAAATAAAGAACCAGCACTGTGTGTGTGTGTGTGAGAGCAGCAGGAGTAGCGGCCCCTCCCTCCTCTAACCAGAGACTGACACAGAGAAAATACAGTGGCTAAACAAGGCAGGACCATCTGTTTCAACCCTGCAGGCTATGCTTGGTGATGCTTGTTTTTATATTGGAAATGCAGCATATGTGCCAAATTAGCTAGATCACCTTTGTTATGCACTACTGGATGTACTGACAACTTTCACTAAATTACTTTGATGCTAAAGGATTCTTTAAAACCTTATTTTCAGGCTGGGTCTGTAGCAATCCAAATTATGAGAAGAGATCTTGTAATTATGAGGTAGTAAAACTATGATATAGAATACTCCAATTCTTTTTCCTTTGAATGCGGTGTGCTTTTGCACAAAGCAAATTTAAATGTTCATATACCACTGCCCGGCCCTTCTAAGAGGCACACTTGTACAATTGTTTGTAATTCAATGCAACACCTCTGCCTTAACATCTGTGTTTATGGAGCTCAAAATGTTTGGTTTTGGTAAAATTGTCAAATGTCTAAATTCAGTTCTTTATTATTGAGGCCATAGTTAAAGGTGGACTACATTATACTCAGAGGTGTCTATCTTTGTCCAACCCAGCTACATACTTGAGGGTCAGAATATTAGAAACACCTCTGAAACTAATGTAGTCCAGTAAAACACCCTTTAGGTATCTCAATAATAAACAATGTGTTTGACAATTTCACTAAAAACAAACATAGTGAACTTCATGAACACAGATGCTAAGACAGAAGTGTTGGATGCAATTGCATCCAAGAGTGGCTGGTTAGTGTATTTTAGCTGTGCAGCTGATTTAGTGCCTGGAGGTGACCTGTGCAATGTGGCTATATTGGAGTAAAATGCCTTATTTGTTCTTCAAATGTTTGCAGGATTTGGACACGGTGGTGCCTTGAGGAACTTGTTCTGCAGGATCCTGTAATATGGACTGGAATTGTCTTAGGAGTGTTAGGGACAGTGGGGACAAGGAGCTAACAGTGTTTTTGGTTTATCTTTGGCCTTTGTAAGATTAAAAAAAAAAAATTTCCAGGTGCAACTATGGCACAGAAAATGTCTTAACCTACTTGCTTTGAAGTAACCAATCCATACCAACACAGATGTGCCTTTTAAACTGTACATTTTTTCATGACTGATTTTGAGAATAAACTGTATTTCCACATTTTAAACTAAAAATGAGTTGACACAGAACTGTACAGTGTGTTTAATGTCTCATCCATAATTATTATGAAAGCCCAGTCACCTACAGAAACAGCTGTATAGTAGACAACATGAACCACTTCAGACCCCTGCCAACTGTTGCACATACCAGGATGCTGCATGCAAAACAGGATGACCAGGGCAGGAAGTGATCAGTAACAAATAGGAAAAGCACAGTCTGAGTTTGGTACAATTTGGGCCACATTCATACGTTTGTCTACACAAACTGTTTGGAACTACACATCTGTCACCACAGGTCAGACTTGAAGATTGATGTGGATTCGGCTGCCTCTGTCCTCTCTGGAGTCTCTCACCTAACAATCGAGGTCTATGTCCTTTCTGTGAGCTACAGACTTCTGTCCCAGACAGTCTCCACAAAGCACCTGTAGATGCAGCTTTGCAAAAGTTGTTCTTAGAGGATGGAATCTCATAAGGTCCAGTCAGTGTTAAACCTCTTTATGGTGTTGAAGGTCAAGTGCTGCCACTGATCATCCACCACCTGGGACATGCACCGTATCGTCCATTTGTGTATTTCCACAGCTGAAATATGTTGGCATCCTTTTCTGGCCACAAAAGGAAGGTTGTGCAGTTAAAGCTGGAACTTCCGTCTGCAGGCATCCATCTCATGGCGCTAAAAACAGAAACGGTATATATTTTTTAAGGTTTCCAAAAAAGTCTGTGACCCAATTGAGTAATACAGTTATATTGTTTTGTTTCACATAGAAGAAAAGAACTTAAACATGTTGCTAAGTAGAAAAGAGTTTGACATGTATGCAGATTTAGGCAAACAATACAATGCTCAACTGCATCACTGGGGCTTTCCTACTGTAAACACTTGCTTTGTAACTACACCATTTCTACCATCCTAGAGCATCTCAAACCTAGAGACTCACCTTCAGGACCCACTCATACTCTCCAAACTTGGAATCGAATGTGCCTTTCTGTAGAGAGCGGAGTTTGAGGGTGAAGCGGGGTCCAAGCTCCTGAATACCAACCTTCTTCTCATTCTTGAAGATATACCTATTAAAGACACAAAGAACTGTTGATTTGGTCCTCAAAATTTAAGAAACTGTTTGGACGTGAGCAAATGGAGGGTCACATTAGGAGTGTCCAAATCAGGTCAAAATTCATTGTTTAAATATTCACCTGTGGAATCTGAAAAAGACAAAGTCTCTCTGGTTGTGGAAGGTGGCAACCTGTCGACCCACAAACTGAGGATCTTGTGGAAAAAGAGCGGCAAACATCCGGCCGATGCTGTGGCCCAGACGTGTGGTGAAGTTATTTAGGATCACCTCGGGACAGTGTTCAGTTGGATCCTTGCCTCGTCTCTGCAGAAAAAAAAACAGTAAAGGTATGCAGGGCTCCCACAACAAACCACAAAAGTCTCTGCCCTGTTAGTGGCAGAAACTGAGTATTGCAATGAAGGTCGGTCTGTCTACTCCAATTTACTACTGGACAATCACTGGCCAGCATAACGAGTCAGTGCATTCAATAGACATCAGTTTAAATACATACGTTACAATGCAATATGAAAAAAGACAGCTAGGCTTAGGTGTTTTTACCCAATATATTATGATACTGAAATTCTTAAAGACAGTGACCAACCTTTATCTCTTTACGTAGTCGAACACTGCTGACCTTGAAGTGTGCTGTTGGCCCATCAGGTAGGTGACACAGAACCATGCCATCTTCAAAATATGGTAAAGGATTCTGACATTAAGAAGGTCAGAAAACACAGCTCACCCGGTCAAAGTTTGACAGAGTACAGATCACAGAAATAACATTACATATTTTAAACTGCAAGTTTTATATTCATCACTGGAGTTTTATCTAATAGTCTAAAAGTTAGTAAGATTGGTCCAGCAGTGATGGATTATATAAAGCAACATAGAGCATCAGCATCATCCTCTGTCCTGACACCGCTGCCTTTGAGGATACTGGGCACTTTGCGATCCTCATTGATGACCATGAGGTAGGTGAAATTCCTGGCGACGCACTGAGGAATGATCCTCTTCAGGGCCAAACCTCTTCTGTAGTACACGTGGGCATTTGGGATTACTTTGGCCAGCTGCTCACAAAACCTCACTGTTCTCTACAAAACATGAAACAATCAGTGAGTTGAACGGACAGTTTGGAAAATAATGAAACTGTTTTCCACAATGCCCTGCAAAGTACTATGGCTGGAGCAAATCTTTTGACTATTTCTTGAACACCAACTCTACCTTTAATGCATAAAAGCTTGGTGCTAAACTTAAAGGCTTATGTCTATTCTCAGCTGAGACTGTGCTGCAACATGTGTTTTTACAGTACAGCCTTTTTCAGACATGAGATGCATAACATTGGTGCTTCATCAGTCTGTTAAATCCATGGCTTTCTGTCATTCAGACATACCCATGAAAATGAATGGGAGGAATGTGCAGGGACCGTCTACAAAATGCACCACCAAAAAGAGATGCTACAAAAATATTCACCAAGTGATTTTGGTGACACTAGGCTACACTAAAAGCATCACTGGTCACCTTTTTGGTTATACCACAACATTTAGTTTGGAAAAATGTGTAAGAATGAAGCTACTGAAAATTTTATGGTACCTCTTTTGGTGTTGTGCTTTGTAGACAGCCCCTGTGCAACCATCTCACAGCTGGCTACACATACTATATTTTATCAAAATGGCTTGGTTAGATAAAAATTAGCTTGCAGCTTGGTGCCATTTGTGTTTTACTGGTCCAGGAATGTTTCATCCTAGGATTAATCTTATGGTGCTAATTAACTAACTCACAAAGTGAAGCTGAAAAAGTCCAAAGCAGTTTCCTCCAGAGAATGTATAATGCCCAAACAGCAGCTACTCACCCCTCTGGGTCTGTCAGATGTTGTGATGAGAACTTTGGGGTTGGTGAGTCCGTTGAAGTAGGCAGAGAATTCATCAGTTCCCTCATCAAATGCAACCTGCAGATGGCAGATGAATACATTAAATAATACCAACACATTACAAATTTAACCTGAACATGTGAACAAACTCAGCCAAACTTCTCTTCATACCTCTTCATCTTCTGGGTCAACGGTTGTCTCATCATACACCCTCTGGTTTTCTATAGTCTTTGGGACCTCTTTTGGTGGTGCCTACATGAAGAACAGAATGAAACAATGAAGCCCAAAATGATTGTGATTTCCCAGTTTAAATGAAAAACTTATTCTAGAAAGCCAAGTGTTGCCATCGTTAGTTTTGACTAATAATGGCAACACTTCAGACAACAGAGAAAGACTCACCTTGTCACCCAAAGCTTCCCTTTCTTTTTTCTTCTTTTTCTTCAGCTGCATCTTTTGCTGAAATATAAAGACAAAAGCTATGAACGTCCAGGAGTTCATTTACTGTAGCACAGAGCTGATAAATCAATTAGGGATGGGCAATGATTTTTAAATAGTCATTAAATTTAAAAAAATGAATATGGTGAGAATAGGATTCACAGATGCTCTGTTTTAAGGTCAGAGTGGAGAAATTTCACAAAATCACTGTTAGGTTAGAGTTGGAAAATGGTTTTGCTTCTTATGGGGCCCTAAAGTTTAATGAAGGCATACCCTGATACACCCCCGACTCTCTATGGAGCCAAATCAATTAAACATTTGACTTAAATATTAAGCTTCTGGTTGGATAAGTTCTGTTCTTCTAGCTGAAATAATATTCATGTTTTGAGGAACCAGAAGTAATCGTCCTCCTTTAACCACCTCCGCTGTCTAAAACCATTTGAACTCACAGTCACAAGCTCAACAGAGAACTGAGCAGCAGGGATAGATTTCCCAACAAATGTCACAGGTTTAATATTTCAGTTCTCTCTGTCGTTATAATAAAACTTGAAACCCAAAGCAGTTTGCACCTACTGTAGAAGTTTTTGATTCCAAGTAGGTCACTCCTGGTTTTTGTGGTCACTCCTGGTTTTACTCAATGATTTTGCATACAAGTTGCAAATGGTAAACATGGCAGTGCAGCATGTTAGAAATGCAAATTGCCAGCTTATAAAATCAGCTTTTGTCAGGAAAAGCAAATAATAGCTGGCTGCAGTTTAAGTGATGATGTTCAATTCATAAATCGTTGTACATTAAAAAGAGGTTTTGGACATTGCCGTTCTCCCATCAGACAGTGGTGTTCTTGTAAGCCTAAAGAAAATCACCTTAAAACCTTGTTAAGTTTTCATACATTGTATCTGCAAACATGAAATGTTGTATTCATGACATTCCAGTGCTGTTTGTCAACATCTGTGTGTTCTCGTTAGGGAAAGTGCGCAGCAACAGGAACGTTGACATCGTTTGTTAACTCGTCTTATTGACAACTTTTATTTTTTTTATTTCTTTTGTTTTGCATGTTTTTTACTATACACAACCTTTTTTTTTGTAACTTACTTTGAGCAGCTAAACTAGCTAGCAGGGCGCTAGCACCTATGCTGTCAATTAGTGCCTACTCCAGGTCCCATACACCGCACGACTCTGGGTAGCACTTGGGCGTGTCCTTCATAATGACTACCATGCAACTCTGTCTTTCTGGTCATTTATTTAGAACACAGAACCGCTCCACACATCACATTCCCAACAGGGTCAGTTTTACACATACAGCTTAGACTTACGGTTCAACAACACAGCACTCAACCAGCTAGCAAAACATTAACACATACAAGTCATCAAGATAAACAACAGGGTAACACATTAGAACATTTTAACACACTTTAACAACTGTTCTCTGAACTCATCATTGAACTCCCATGATGCCCCCCATGCATCATGTCGCTGCCACCAGACCCCTCCCCAATAGCCGACGTAGGTCGCCACAATAGAATAAACTTTTATTTTTGTAACTACATGCCCTGGATGCTGTGTTCTCCATTATTTGATCCAGTGTCTAATAAATGAGCTGCAGTGTGTATATGACTGACTTATGTGTGTATGATCTGAAAGCATTGTTTCATTTTAAGTGCTGGTAAAATGGTTTTGAAGCAATTGCTTGATTTTGCCAGACGAGTCAGAGGTTTTGTGAATTTAGTTTTTTTGTTTAAGGTTTTGAGAAAATGAATGGTGGTTTCAAGAAACGTGTTTTAGCAATTCAGAAAAACTGTAATCGTGCATTATAAAATGTCATTCGTCCAATCAATCATCTATTTTAGCTTTAATACTGGTTGGTTTCTGCCATATATGTTGATGATTTAACAGCAACACAAAGTACAGCTAGCCAAAGTTTAATGAACATCTTTTAAAAATTATAACCCCCACGAAGGCAATATTTAACGATTTATCACAAGTTGGCTTAGACTGCCGTAGTTTTAGCTAGGTGTATTTAGCTAGGTAATAGGAGGAGCTACTGCTGAAGTCTAACGTTATTTTCTAATTACCTTTCTTTTCTCCTGCTTGAGTTTCATGAACATGAGGTGTCGGCGCTGTTTATTCTTAATTTCGGACACACTGAAAGTAGAGGGGAAGGCAGCCGATGGCTCGCTCTTCTCCGTCTTCTGCTCCTCTTTCTTCTCCACTCCGCCGCCATCCTCCTGACTCACACGCTTCGTCTCGGGCTTCTTATTCTTCCTTTTCTTATATTTGTTGTCTTGGTTCACATGAACCTCTGTGAACTCCATCTTATGTCAACTGTAAGTTGTGGGCTGACTATTTTCACATGTGCTGCTGTTGCTAGCTTCTTATTCATGACTTCACGTCCGGGGACCGGAAGTTACCGATTTGTGGTCCTGCATGAAAAATGTGGGACACCTGGTGGTAAGGAGGGAAAAGAGCAAAGACACGGCAATCAAAATAAATTGTGTGGATGCCCAGTCAGCATCTCACATGGTGAAGAGTGCCACAGCGCATTTTATTTCTTAGTTTTACTTGTCATTGGTCATGTTCTTTTTATACTCACTGGAACAGTATCCGCTGGTTTAAAGATGAGACTACAACATCAAAACTGAGAAGGTGTCAGAAGTTATTTTAACAAAATAGCTCAGCCAAAAATAAGTATTGTGAGATGGGACTTGCAGAGCATATCTGCAGATCTACAATGAATTGTACAGTGATTTACAATATTGTAAGTGTGCAGTCTGTTCTTAAAGGATGGTTGGTGCTCAGATAACAGCATAGTATGATCATTGTATTCAAAGGATGAGAAAATGAAAGGGCCAAGGAGGAGTTTGGGCAGTTGATGTGGCTTCTTTTAATTTGAGGGAATCTTTGTCAAGAGAACTGAACTTAAAGTACTATATGTGAAACTGGCTACTAATTTTCACAGCAGAGAGGGAGATTATTTGTCATTAAAAATTTCCAAAATGTTGGCACTGAAATTTATGATTCGATTACTCACAGTTCAAATCAGCATAATAGGAGAGCAGTGTTTCCCCTACCATTATACTAGGGGGGCACCCTGCCTCACCTTTGGAGGTCAATTTTATTTAATTTAATTTAATATATAGCGCCAGATCACTGCAGAAGTCATTTAAGGTTACCTTTCCAGGTAAGAACAGGACTATACCTTGTTCTTTTATTAAACTAAATAGCCTTATGTTATTTATCTTATTTAACATTTCTACATGGTTGCACATTTACAATTCTCCTCTGCTTTCTGTGGAGTTCTAAATGTGTGCCTATCCAGCTGCCGGATAGCTCGGTGGTTAACACCACTGTATTTGGTACGCCAGGTCGGGGTTTGATTCCCTGTCAGTCAGACCCTATTCTCACTACACAAATTCATTCTTTCTTTTAAAATTGTATACATTGTACATTTATCTGCAGTTCCTAAATCACCCTGTTTGCTTTTGGGTGCAAATTTAAAATTTGTTTATTTAGGAAAGTCCAAGCTATCTACTTTTATAGCACCAAACCAGGAACTAAAGGAGAACATCCACATCCTTTGACACAGCAGCTCATCTTCTGTGAGGAGATAGTGCAAAATGGTGGACTATATTGATTGTAAATTTTCATAGCATAATATTATGCTTATATAATAAGGACCTGAATGAATCTTAGAAGGGACTTTAGTCAACACTTCAGTGTCATAGCGCAAGAATGGAACAACATCCACACAATGGAACAACAGGGCAAGGCGTCTCATGGCCACCCAGACGTGTGGGTGTGTGGACCCCGGTCAGGACCCGTCGGGGCGGGGCTGTGAGGGCGAGGCGCCTAAGATCATATTCAAATTTATTGACAGCGGAAGCAATGCCAGGATTTAATGAGATCAAAAGCTATCAGGAAGTAACTTCACGTAAAAGAATGGTGTCCTGTTAACAATGGACAGAATTTCATGTCTAAACCTGTTTTACTAAAGGTCTTTGAGTATCCAGAATTGAAGACCAACTGGAGGATGACTTGTATAAAGCTGGAAGTAATAGAGTCTTGTAGTTTTTTTTAGGTTAACCGATGCAGACCACATGTGGTGACTCAGTGCGTATAACGGTTAGTGTTTTCTACACAATATCTAAACACAGATGTGCTCGTGAAATGAAGACATTTCATTTTAAATTTCTTTATCATATTTATTTTATGGCACTTGTCTTTTTCTACCCCTGTAATGCATCCTGTTCTACATTCAAGGTGGCAGTGGCCAGATGATCCCGTCTCTGTTGGCTACACAAACAAGATGCTCCACATGATCGCCAACAATGGGGAAACGCATGCTTTGTTTTCCCTTCCTTACAAATTCTTCCCTTCTCTATTAGGCTGGATGGGCATGTTCACCAGAACAATAGGAACAATGGTGTAATTTCATGTATACATTTGTACAAAATATTGTCCATCTTCAGAGATGCTCTGGGCGGGCATTTTTAGGATGCAGTGTATAGGGTGGTGGTTTGTGTTGTATGAAGGATGACTTTGTTCTTCATGAATAAAGATAGGTGACACTAATCTGACATGAGGTGGATTCACTAGCTTTTGTAGAGCTTGTAATTACCATTACAGACTTTCTCATCCATTGTTGGCTTCATACTAAATTTTGAATATAGACCTTGAGGTGGGATCAAAACCTACAGCGCTGCCAATATATTCTTGTATCACTTTGTCAGAGTAGAATTGTATCAACTGTACTAGTACTTTATTACCCTTGTTCGCTTGCTGTATTTTGGCAATGTGCACAACAGTAGGACCAACCATACTTTGCATAGATGTATTTATATATTTAATTTCCCCCACTATTTCATGAAAGGCAAGTTTAGCTGTAAAATGTATTTCAACACTTTTCATATATTATATGAGCTGAGTACAACAAAGTATTTGTTGTACTCAGCAGGTGTACTGTATACATCAACTCCAGACCTTGGAGGCACGTGGTCCAGTGAAGACGACCAAAACACTGTGGGCTCACTACAACCCTCCAGAGAATTCAGATGGTAAGTAAATTGTTCAGACCATTGTGAAATGTTGACTTATTCTTATTGCTGTGGATAGCTTCTCAAAGTGAAATTTAACATTTCTTCAGTTTAGTATTGCTTAAATGTGGAACCTTTATACAAGAGTGGTGCTTTATAACTGCAGAGTATTTAAATTGCTGTTAAAGATCAAATTTGCCTGGCCTGTTTCATATATTTGAGGTTAAACAAAATCGGGCTGTTAAAGTCAATGTTCCTTTTAGGCTTGTGGTGAGATGTGTCCTTTTGTTCAAAATATAGCAAACCTACCAAAACATAATTGGTTGAAATTGGAGCATATTGTGCTTTAAACTCGAGCTTTTTCCATTTTTCCCCTTACGCAATGCTTAACCAGATGTCATTCCATGGCCAGACAATCGGCAGCAGCATTGAGGACAGACAGGCAAGCTCGTTTATAAATGTACCATTTGATTGAAATCAAAGCTTTACAAACTTTTTTCTTTGCAGCCATCCCAGCTCAGGCAGCTGCTGAAGTTTTGGGTAAGATGGGAAATCCCTACTGGTGGGATCAAGATAGTATCTCATTTTCTACATGTGCCTGGACCACAGTTGTGAAGATTTCTACCTTATGCCAAAACTTCAACAGTATGTAAAAAAAGAGGGTACTCCATGTGGGAGATTGTGTTTTAAGGGCCCTGTGTTCAACATTCATTCATGTCAGGGCCTTTTTTTTGTTTTGGAAAATTTTCAATAAAGCTGCAACTTTTAAAACTGTCTGGTTCTGCTTTTGTAACAACTGACAAAGACCAAGTTGGTGTTGGTAGAGAAGACACTCCAGTGAAGTGTGCACTCAAATTCAGTGCAACCAACCTTGTAGAATGTAATTTGTAAAGTTGTCAGCTTTAAATGGCTGAAAAGCAGAGTTACTACTATAGAGCCTAATTTAACTACTGCTGTAAAATTCAACACTGAACATGTTCGTGAAGCTCAGTTTGTCAATTATATGTTCATTGTCATAGTTAAAGGTGGTGTAGTACTGGACTACATTATATAGACACCTCTGAATATAATTTAGTCCAGTACAACCACCTTTAGGACAGTCTTGCCAAAAACAAACATTTAGGGCTTCATAAGAACAAATGTTAAGGCAGAAGTGTTGTACTGAAATGCATACAGATGGTCATGTTATGCCTGATCAGTGTATATTTAAGGGCCTGGATGTAAAGTCAGGTTTCTTTGCAGCATCACGAAAGAACTCCAGAGCCATAGATCCCTTGTTTCTGGCCATTTGGAGGATCAGAACCTGTGATAACAGTTAACTCGGTTACAAAGTTGCTCACAAGTTAACTTCTGCATCATACTTTCCAGTTCTTAACTGAGCCGTTTAAAGTGAATTTAAAATAATTCTGTTTGCCAGCTATATTATCAATTTGCCGTGTTTCACTTGAGTGCAATGAAGGTCAATGACAATGTTTGCCATAAACATTACAGATGGAACATGAAGTTTTTACTAAAGCTTCATTATCATAGTCAGTGAAACTGTTCCACTACAGTCCATTCTGACCCTGTGTACAAATGTGGTGGATGCAAATGCAGAATGAAGACACTTATAAAGATGTTAATATGTACAGCTGCTGTCTTAAGCTTCCTAATTTGATAGTGTTTTGTCAGATTGGAACAAAGAATGAACTGTTGTATGCAATTGCATTAAGTTTTGAGAATTTATTACAATTTATATCAAAGTTGCTCAAACACTTTTGAAATTAGTCGAGAGAAATTAGTCTGACCAACATGTCAATTCTAGTATAGTACTCTCTCTCACTTGAACCACCACAACTTTAGGTTTCTCAACTTGTAGTTGATGTCCGAATGCAGGAGTGACAGGGGCCCGGAACACTGTTGGTCCTCTTTGCAACATGCCCAAGACTATTTACGCTGTGCGAGTCCATGAGTTGTGTGGCCTTGTGAAGGCCTCAGTCCTGGCCTTCACCATGTGAGGACCTAAACCACCACCAGCCAAAAGATTGGACTGAGGAAGCAGCAGGTTTAAATACCTCCCACTAGGCCTGGACTGCACCAAGGGCCCAATACAAGAAAGGGGAGTGTTTGGGAGAAAGTTAATTTGTTGGTAGTTTATGTTAGAACTTTATTTGTCAAGTTATGTTAATTTCTTCACATTTAAAGGAAATATTTGAGAGCAGACTGCTTAATGTTTATTAGTTGATTATTTTGGTAGTGTTTTTGGTCTACCCCTTGTGCGTGTTATTGGTTTGGCCAGCCAGTATATATGTTCCCCTATGTGTGTCATTTGTTAGGTCAGTTGGTTTTCGTTGAGGTACCGGACAGTTCGGTTTGCTGTATTTTGAGTTTCCTTATCTTTTGTTGACCTCTTTTAGGGCCCAATTTATCTGATGTTAACCCTTATGCCTCCCTAA